CCACTACCTGAAAAATATTAAACAATATTTCAACCTCCAAATCTTATAAATTAAGGTTAAATTATGAACTAAATAACTGTGTTCTAGTACTATAATAAAAGATTAGAACACTGTCTGAAATAATAGAAATGGGGATAGTGTATATTCTCATCTTTAAAGTTTTAATTTTTATGTTCATATTTTTAAGTGAACAGCTCACTTTTTGCTTCATGTATAGTGAAGCAACTTCACTACATATACTACATGTATCACTGGCTCTCAACTTAGACTTTAGGACCATTTGTGAGAAATGTTGCAAGTAATTTCCTCAAATTCTCCAAAGAAAGAGAATATAATTTTCTAAAATTTACATTTGAACATACTCTTACTTTCACTTGAATTCCAAAATACATTGCTGGGAAGAGAAAAAGAGGGTAAGTTAGAGCCATCAAGCTAAGAAGTGTATGTGATCCTGCTTATTCTCTTGGGAATATATTAGTATCTGTATGTCAATCATCACAAGATACTATAGAAGTAGAGACTGAGAGCTGCTGTGTAGACCACAGCTGAGAATCATAAAAAAGCAAAAGAAAAATCACTAAGCAATAAAAGAAAAAAAGTCATAAAATCCACTCAATCCATCTCACACATTTTATCCATGAGACCCTTAGACCAAACTCAGAGCCTTTTAATTCAGGATGCAGGGAGGAAGAGACTTACTGCTGGAGCTGCCACCATCAGTGACACCAAAACATTATAGTCACCACAAGGAAGGAGGCAGAAAACCTCTAAAATCAAGAGCTAACTGATTTATCCACATAATTATCCGTGGACATTCAACATAGGCAATATAAAGAGGGAAGTTGCAACAACGTATTTTGGAAATATCATGGAATTTGTGGACTGCAGGAGTGATCATGTTAATAAAGGATGCCTCCAAATGAGGGAGCATACTCTAGACACAGAACACGGTGACAGTGTTCTCACCCGTGTTCTCCAACCATCCAGTTCTCCTCAGATACATTACTTAAAAGTTGGAGAAGACACATTTTGCTATCAAAAGATTTTGTATAAAATCATTATAATTTTTTAATGCAGGCACTTAAAAAGGAATGCTTTCATAGGTGGAGAATTAACTTGTATGAAACAGTTCCTAAACAATGTATGATTAATAAATATTACATACTAACAACCTTGACTTAACAAAGCTGTTAACTAGGAATTTAAACTAGGCATTAGCTGCTGGATAGTTTAAATCTTATTATAAAACCTACAAGTTGCATAGATACAGATATTTAGGAAAAAATCTTAGGGCTCATTTTAAAACAAGCAAAAATCCTAGTACCTTTGTATATCATTTATACTAAAGGCAAAGAAATAAAAAAAAAAAAAAAGCAGAATCACCTCCCCTACCAGAAAAAGAATTAAGGCTTTCAAGGAAGCCCAAAACAGGTTAACAGGAACTCTCTCTTCAAAATCTTATACTTACATCCTGCAAAAACAACTGTTCCACATACATTATCTTCTATCATGAAAACCACATTTGTTCCACTATTTTCCGAAACAGAAATATTGTGGACCTTGATTGCAACATTTTCCCCGTCAAGATGGATAAGGGGACAGTATGTACTGCCAATCTGTGCTGATAACACTTTTTCTTGACTCACACAACAAAATGTTATATTTGAGCCTACAAGTATCACTTTGTCTTGAGGAAAAACCTTAGGCTGTGAATCAGGAGTCCCTAGAAAGAACAAAACGAATTATAAATATTTTAGACGTCTTTTATGCAAAATAGTCTTCATACTAAGACTTTTATTCCAAGATGATTCTTAAAATAGCCCAGTAAACATGCAACATACTATTAGGTGCTTCGTCATAATGGTGGCCCAAAGATAAGGTATGAAACCCCAGGTTTCAAAGGAATGAGGTACATATCAAAAATTGTTAAGAACTACATGTGGTTTTATTTACTTAAGAAGGAGTAACGGTGATGAAGCGGAAGCAGATCACAGGTAGGTCAATGTTTAAGCATAGGTTAATGTCTAAGAAGTATTAAGATTCAAATTTAACAAGTTTGTGTATGTACACATGAGAACCACCCACACCAAAAAATCACTCATTAAATAATTTCATTCTTTTCATCCTATGTATTTAGGGGCAGATTTGTTACTTTCCATTAGCCTAAATACATGTTCAAGTACTCCATAGCCTAAAAACTCATTTTTGGCAGGGCGCAGTGGCTCACACCTGTAATCCCAGCCAGTACTTTGGGAGACCAAGGTGGGAGTATTGCTTGAGGCCAGGAGTTCAAGACCAGCCTGGGCAACATAGCAAGACTCAGGCTTTACAAAACATTAAAAAATTGGCCAGGCATGGTGGTGCATTTCTGTGGTCCCAGCTGCTTGGGGGGCTGAGGTGGGACGATCGCTTGAGCCCAGGAATCTGAGGCTGCAGCGATGACTGCACCACTGCACTCCAGCAACAGAGCAAGACCCTGTCTCTAAAAAAAAAAAAATATTAAAGTAATTTTCTTTAATCCTTCCTCTGACCCATTCTGATCCATTTTTCCATATTATCACTAGAGCGGTTTATCTACAATAATTACCAGCCTTTTCAGGACTTCATTTTATTCTCAACAATTTTCTGGGCCTTCCCCCACATCCTACACTACCAACATTCTTCCTGTATGAGCTTTATTTAGTGTACAGATAATTTTTGGTACGTATGCAGGATCTCATGTTCCTTGCAATAACTCTGCAGCCACCAGGTACCTGCTCTGTGGGCCAGAAATTGGGAAACTTTTTTTTAATGTAGATTTGATCTCATTATCACCTACTTAAAATTTTTAATTGTTCTTCAATGCCCACCGTACTGATTTTCAAACATTGATGTTTATCCAATCACTCAGTGAGTTCTTTAAAAATACATATTCCTGAAGCCTATCTCAGACTCCAGGTATGGCAGACTTGGAAGATCCCCAGGGGACGCTCACACAGTTCAAAGAAGTGGAAACTTAAACTAAGCCTCGCTCTTACGCATTTTAAACAAAAATTCTTTACATATAAGCTTACAAGAAATGTTCTTCAACGGGCTCCAGTCACTCCACTCTTTGTGACCAGAGAAAAGAAGATTGTCAACGTAGCACCTAATTCCCACATAATGAATGGCACACTCCAAGGGCAGGTCTGAGACCCAACTCCAGTGATGAACTGTATCTTTACCATTCAGAGTTGTGTTGTGGGTCACCTAAAAGTGAACACAAACACAAAATTATAATTCCAAGTAGTGATATGGTCTGCTTTCCTTCAGGATTAAAAACACATTATATTGTATACAATCACCAGCTAAGTTAGTGGTTTGCCCTGTTGTAAAACTACCTCAGTTTTCTATAAAAAGGAGAGTTTAGAGTAACAATAATCATGATTCACTGATGTTTACTTCTTCATCTTTACCCCCTAATGTATTATCATGTAAGATGTTGATATTCATCAAAACATTCACTAGAGTGCACAAGAAAATGCAAGCTGAGTACCTCTTATTCAAAATGCTTGGGACCAGTAGTGCTTCACATTTCACAATCTTATGGATTTTGGAATATCTGCAATATAACCTACCAGTCGAGCACCTCTAATCCAACATGCTTCAGTATCTCCTTTGAACGTCATTTTAGCGTTCAAAAAGTTTTGGATTTGGGAGCATTCTGAATTTTAGATTATCAGATTAAGGATGCTCAACCTGTCTGCCACTGCTTGATGGTCGCCATTTTTCATGTAGAAAAAATAATTAATGGGTTTGTACCTCCAAAAGCTGAAGGAGAAGAGTAGCATTTCAATAAAATAAATTGTTTTAAAGTAGATTTTTTTACATAAGCATTCCATTTTTAAAATTTATTTTTAAATATATACCTTATGATAATATGAAATATTAATCTCAATTGTGAGAAATGAGCAAGATTTCAATCAAATATTGAGGCTCTCCTAAATGATAACCTCGAACTTCTAATTAAAGACAAGAGATTGAACAAACTTATTTCCTTCTCTCTTAGCTCCCAAAATCCTTATAAAAACAAAAGTAAACAGTTTTTTTTAAAGGCACAGCTGCACAAGGACAAAATATAGGAGAGGAAGCACCATCATAAACATTTTGGAAGCTGGAAAGCAGGTGGATGATAGTAACTGACTTAGAAGTCCTGAGAAAGCTCACTCCTAAGCCTCCCGTGGAAAAGCCAGGGGACCACCTAGTTTCTATCACAGAAATGCCAAAGGGCCCAGCAAGTGGCTGCACCAGGTTTCCCAGGAAATGCAGGGTGAAGTGGGCTCCAGACAGGAAGACTGCCTGGAAGCTGTCTGAAGATACGTTAGACACCCAACCCCCTCCCACACTCTATGTACCAGAGGCCTATCCTTGTTAGTCACAGCAGGTTGAAGATTTGCATCTGGAAAACTGAAACAGAATGCCTCTGGATTAAAGGATCTCAGGAAGAGCTGAGAATGGGGAGTGCCATCCCCAAACCAGAGAGACTATGGGTAGACAATGGCCTTGCAAATGAAACACGAATGCATGGGGTTCTTGATTTTTAAATTATTATAAAATGACAGCATTATGACCTGTCACAAAAAAACTGATTATAAGCAATTCTGACTTAAATACTGATATTAGTAACATTTTTATAAATAAAATTGTCACATTTTACTATAGACCTGAAGCATTTTCTCCTTTTACTTCACTGTTTTAAATTAATTTGTTACTTCTCTATTTTCCTTTCCTCTTGCAATTATTTCTTCATACAAAGATTTTTCCCAAAAGTAGAGAATCACTACCTTGTCATTGTCAGCTTGTTATATCTCTGTGGCAATGACTTGTATGGTTTTACAATACTACTTCCTTTCATTCATTCATGTCATTCCTATTTCAGAGTATACCTCTTATTCTAGTATTCCCCCATTAGTTCCTCTCTTGAAATTACTTTAAAAATAAAAAAAGTCTAGCCCCCAAAAGAAGGAATTACAAATAATATTGGTTTAGCAGCTTTACAGATACCATACTCTTTACTTTTGGGACCCACAGGCAGATACCAACACCACTTTATAGATAAGAAAAGTCGCTGCAGGCCAGGAAGTGGTAACCCCAGAATGCCAAATGTTAGGCCATAATGAAAAGTTAAACAATACCGTTTTAAATAAGTAATGGTTTTATGGCAACAATGGTAGAGTTATATCAAAGCCAACTGAAAATTTGTTATATCAGTTCTATAACACTGATATAATAGAACTACCATCAAAATCAAGAAAAAAGAGTATTTTAGGCTGAAGCAATTATGACGGGCTTTAAAATAAGGGGCAGAATTTGACCTGGGTCTTGAAATGTAGGTTCAGCTGGAATAGGTGAAAAGGGAGAGAATTTCAGATGAAAAAATATAATTATAAAATATAAATTGCAGTGGCTAAGAGCACAGACTCTGAAACCAAACTGCTAGGTTCAAATCCTGGCTCCACCACTTAATGTCTTCCAGTGACACTATATCTTTATCTGCAAAATGGGGAAAGCAATAATAGCATCTCCCTCCTGGGACTGTTATGAGGATAAAAAGAATTAACATACATAGAGTTTTTAGAACAATGTCAGGAAAAGCAGACGTACTAGATACCTGCTAACTATAATTATGATTGCTATTATCTTATGAATGATATTCATGGTTGTCATAGGTTGCCAAAAAGGAAAACTAAAAAAGTAACTAGGAAATACAGAATAATTCCATTTATTATCTTTACTATTTTATCTATGTACTTAGGCAAATAAACTAGAAAACAATGAGACAGTTTTCTAACTTTTATACCCATGACTAAGCATATTCCAAATCCATCAAGGAGGGAAAGAGTACAAGGCTAAATGGGAGCATCCTAGATATCTGCTGTCAAACTTTTCACAGCTATTCTTTTTTTTTTTTTTCCGGCATATTATGGGGGTACAGATTTTAAGGTTTCAATAAATGCCCATTCCTCCTCCCAATCCCCCCTCCCCCCAAAAGTCTGAGTCTCCATCATGACCATCCCCCAGACGGTGCACATCTCACTCATTATGTATGTATATACCACAGCTATTCTTCATTACTCCTTAGACTAAGAGCAAACTAAATGTAGATAATAAGGAAATCACTCATAAATGGGATTAAAAATATAAGAGAGGGGAAAAAAGTACTAATTATAAGAATGTTATTTCAGATTCTGGTAAATTCAAACTTATTTATACAAAATTTCTCAACAATTACTATGGATAAAGATGTTTAAAAACATTTATGTGCAATAATAGACAAAGATAAAATACACTAAATTAAACACACATTTTCATTTCCTTTATGTAAAACATGCATATTAAAAAGTCTAGATAGGAATACACAAAGATAACACTGTGTTCATGGGGTAGAATCATAGATTATTCCTCCCTTAATTTCCTAAACTTTCTGTAATGGTTAACATTATTTTAATAATTAAAAAGTTATTTTTTAGTCATAGAATATTGATTTACAAAATTTTTGACACCCAATAACTATACATATTTATGGGGTACATAGTAATACTGTGATGCATATACTCTAAAGCATATTGTTTTTAATGAATCCTGAAATATATCTAATATACTTCCTGAATAATCCAAAAGTTCACTGATACCACCTTAAAAGTGTTTAAAAAATTCAGTTTAATTTCATAAGAAGAAAAGTGTATCTTTGTTTTAACTTACTAATTTTACAAGCTCCATACTCTTTTTCCATAGAATTTTAATTTCCCAGATGACATTTGAATGACGTGGAAAAACAGAACCCTTGTCATTCCACTTTACATGCAACGTAGAGGTGGAGAAATCAGCAGACAAATTCAAGATTTCTGGAGTGTCTGGAATTAAGGCTTTAAAAAAAGAGAGAGAGAAAACTTAGTAAAATGAATACTGATTCTTCATACTTCAATTCCACTAATCAACTATTTTTAAACTCTATTCCTTCTTGATCAAAAATAAATCATTAAGATTTAAAGGTAGACTCTCAAACCTATTACTGAAAAAAGAGAATATATGTGTTTATTTATAAAGGCAGCTCCCAACGGTAAATGAGGCAACTTTTAGAAAATTATTTATCAGCTGGCTCTTTCAAATCCATAAAACATTTTCTAATGTAAACAGCAAGTGGGTTCCCACAATATTCTAGTGTCATTTGATCTGGAACCTACAAGTAGGCAGCATCAGAGAAAAGACAAAGAGCTTCCTGTGTACGGCTGCAGGTTGGGACTAAGGAAATGACCAAATACAGAAAGCTTGCTTTGGTAAAGGTTTCCATCTGTTTTCTCTGCAGCCTTCTTCTCACTCATCTCCTGGTGTCAGAGCCCCAGGTGCTGGGAATGTCACCGACTAGAGGCATGTTATAGGCTATCACTGGTTCTAGACACCATTAAATAAGCAAGACTGTCGCAGGGACTGTGAGACAATGAGTTCAGAAGCCAATAGTAACCATGCAGAGGTAGCAGGATGAAAGAAGCGTGCCAGAAAGGCTACTCTAGCAGTGGTATGCAACACGGTCTGCAGGGAATTGAGACGGGAGATGAGGTGATCGATTAGGAGACCACTGGAGGAATCCTGGATGGAGTAACAAGGATATGGATTATGATGCCAAATATAGAAAAGGAAAGACAGAGCCTGATGGACATTTCAAAGAAATGAATGAATCAAAGAAATGAAAGCTTAGCTCTAATGAGAAAGAGAAATGACCAATAGTCTCTCAAGTTTCAAGTCCAGAAAGCAGCAACAAAGGCAAAAGGGATGAGGATCACTGTAAAGAGATGAAAGAGCAGCTGTGGATGACTCACTGTCAGAGGAAGAAGAGACCAAGGGGACAGCAAACTGACCAGGTAACAAGTCAGAACCAAGGACGTGGACTCAACAGGAACTCACCGGGTGCAGATGAAGAAGGAACATGAACACACAGACACAAGGCAGCCAAGGCTCATTTTAGAGGCTGCTGATAGACTATTATACTTACAAAGACACCAGCAAGAATCCAGAGAGGGAACGCTCTAGATGCAGAAGGAAACCAGGGAAAATCCAGGATCACTGAGATAAAAGGAAACAGTTGTCATCTGGGCCAAAGAAAACAGAGTTTACAGAGGAAGACCGAGGAAAGACCACTGGTGAGACTAATGTCAACATCTGAGAGGGAAGTTTGGGAGAACAGCGGGCTGGGAAGCTGCATTACAAACAGTAAAGGGAAAAATGCTCAAGGGCTTGTTTGAGCAACACTTAGGGAGAAATGGAACACTAGAATAAAAGGTGGCAGAAAGAGTAATGTATCCACGAAAATTGACTGGTCTTGCTACCTATAAAGGATGAGCAAACCATTAAAAATTCTGGATAGGTGAAAAATAAGAGAAGGTCTGACCAGGTCACATAGGCTTTCTGGTGTGGGGGCAGAGACTTAGATTATCTTGCATGTTTCCTCCTCAAATTACAGTAAGGGGAGGGTGAGTTAGAAGAAATTCGGAGATGCATTCATTCTTGCCTCATTTCTATCCTAGTTGTTCTTCTGAAGCTCAAGGACTGATTAAATCAAGTCATGGTAAGCACCATACTGCAGGAGTGTACAGGGCTGGCATAGTCAAATATGCTAAATAACAAGAAGGGCAGAACAAACCAATACAACTTAGCCTTGAAACTTACAAATAAGTTCTCAAAAATTGATTTAACTAAAATTTGCTGAACACAGTGCTCTACACTGAATTTACATAAAATGTTTAGGGCTGTACAGGACCCAGTACAGGTGGATTCACAGACTACACTACTCAACAAAGTCAACAGTTACCAACTATATAAGGGCAGTGGAAGATGCTTTATAGAAGAACTTTTAAGTGGGAAACTGCTTGTAAAAAAAGGAAAAATGCAGATGAATGAGAGGCAAGAAGTTGATTTAGTGCCAGGAGAGGGAAAGTTCAAGGTACCAGTGTGGCCAGAAAAGAGCAAGATGCTTCCAACAATGTGGTTCTTCTTTGAAATGATTAAATATGTCATGATGCGGTAACTTAAAAATTGTGAAACGTGGGAGTATTTTACTACAGCAACAGTCATTTTTAAAATGCTTCCCTCCCTGAAAAGTCTACATAGGTTACATTTTATTTCGATAGCAGTGGGCTACTCTTCAAAACACAAGTCATATCCAATATTTCAAGCTAATGACAGTAATAGCCATAATTACAAATGAAAGGATTTTAAAAAGCCACCGTTCCCTTTCTTTTCTTCAGAGCATATGTGGAAGCTTCCCCTAAGCTGCCATGAACTGCCATCTGGATTTCTTTCCAGCTAAAGACAGACAACTGAGGACAATATTAACTTGCTTTCTAGAAACTCAGAACTTTTCAGATAGGGAAAGAATTTAATCAAAGTCTTATTTTTTTTTTAAGCTAGTGCAGGTTTACCCATAACTATATGCTCTTTCTTCCTTAGAACATGAGGTGACAGCAGTCTTCCCAGCTTTTTTTATAGGATCCACATTATTTATTCTGTATCAGAACAATCCAGATTTTCAGGTTACTTTAAGAAACTCAGACATTAAAAGTCTTACAAAGATTTTTTTTTTGTGATTCCCCTTGATAAGTACAAACTTTATGGTGTGTGTGTATAAAATCTTGTTTGTTTTGTATGCTTTTTAAAACATCTTCCGATCTGGAGAAAACTTAATTTTTCAGACTTTTATTTAATAGCAAACTGTCAAAGAATCCAAATCCTCTAATGGACAGCTATACTGCCATTCCAGAGCTTCTCCTACACACAGTAGGTATTCAAAGAATTGCTGATGCATCAACCTCCCTTCCTTATATTTACCTAACTTGCTTTTCAATTTTATTATCCCAACACTATTATTCTAATTTTGATCAGACCCATTATTATAAAAACTGCTACCAATATATTTAAAAACAGTGAACTCAACTAACTCAGTCACCTAGAGTCTTCATTCGTCTTTCTAATTCTATCTAACACTGTCATCTTCAAGTAGCTTTCCAGACAAGAACTTTGGATACCTACTGAAATAATCAGACAACATAAACTGGCTCTCTTCCAGACTTCTGGGGATTTAAAAAATCTGGAATAAAATTGTTAGATTCCTCATAGTTTGCTACAAAATAATTCCAGATGGATGAAAGATTTAAATCAAACATGATAACAAAACCAAAAACTCATAAAGTAAAATACCAAGAGATTCTATTATATAAAAATAAAGGCCGGGCGCGGTGGCTCACGCCTGTAATCCTAGCTCTCTGGGAGGCCGAGGCGGGCGGATTGCTCAAGGTCAGGAGTTCGAAACCAGCCTGAGCAAGAGCGAGACCCCGTCTCTACTATAAATAGAAAGAAATTAATTGGCCAACTAATATATATACAAAAAATTAGCCGGGCATGGTGGCGAATGCCTGTAGTCCCAGCTACTTGGGAGGCTGAGGCAGGAGGATTGCTTGAGCCAGGAGTTTGAGGTTGCTGTGAGCTAGGCTGACGCCACGGCACTCACTCTAGCCTGGGCAACAAAGCGAGACTCTGTCTCAAAAAAAATAAATAAATAAAAAATAAAAACTTATGGTGTAAAAAAAATCACATCTAAAAAAATTATAAACTCAGAAAAATATTTGTAGCAAATATGACAGATTAAACCATAACACAGAGAAAGCTCTTGTGAACTTAGGCAGAAAAAGATGATAGTCTTCATACCATAATACAGAATTATAAAGATAATGACCTGAAAACCTATTTATTATATGTCCTCTATTAAGCAGTATGAAGCTTACTGTTTAAATGTAAATGCATAAAAAAACATGTGTTAACAGTGTTAACAGTATTTCTCCTTGGGTACTGGAATCATGGCTGATCCACATAAAATACCATCTCATGGATGTCACATACAGCTATAGGAAAAAAGTACCAAACATGGTTCCTCTCCCATTATCCTAAAAGATGGCCCTAATTAGCACTTAGGACAACACTTCACTAGAACAACACTTCAGCTGGAAAAGGGGACAGACTCTATGTTCTTGGACAGCATGTGGTTGCTATTATCCTTTCAAAATCTGTGCTGTCTCAGGCATTAACCACTCCAAATGTGCATATTGTCCATAGAATTGTATGAAGTGCCAAATTAATGATACTTTTTTTCCCCCTTGCTTCAAAGTCAGTCATCATTATGATGCCGTCCCATCAGCTGTCAGGGGTGTACAAACCTGCCTGCCCCGCCATTATGAGTCAAGACCACTTCAGGTTTTTAAGATCTTGTTGTATAGCAAAATTTCCATGTCTGTCAGCCAGAGTTTGTTTGTGTTTCCAATGTGCTTGTGGCAAATGTCCTAGACATCTCATCAACAAACCTGTAATAAATGCCTGCTACATGCTCAGCACTGTTCAAGGTGTTTGGTGTAAAAGACAAAAGTCCCTGACCTAATGGAACCTATTTTCTTGTAAAGGAGACACACGGTAGCCCACTAACTACACAATGGATTATTAATTCAACTGAGAGATGCCACAAGGGAGACGTAAAGCTTGCCTAAAGGTATGTTAATAAAGCAATGGAAAAACAAGAACCACATATACTCACCAGCAAACTGGTATTAACTGAGCAGCACCTAAGTGGACACATAGGTACTACAGTGATAAGGTTTTGGGCAGGGGGCCGGGGGGTGGGTATATACATACATAAAGAGTGAGATGTGCACCGTCTGGGGGATGGTCATGCTGGAGACTCAGACTTGTGGGGGGGAGGGGGGAAAGGGCATTTATTGAAAACTTAAAATCTGTACTCCCATCATATGCCGAAATGGAAAAAAAAAAAAAAAAAGAAAAGAAAGCAAGCAATGGAGTCTCTTCTGAGAGGGGGTGGCACCTGAGAAACGTTGGCAGGTATGCAGGACTCAGGGAGGGAGAGGGGGCTAAGGAAAGAGTATTGGACCAAGGGACGGATCCTGAATTCTGGGTTGTATATTTTGATTGACTAGAAGATGACAAGTTTGCTTCCTTCCTGATCTTGGCTATGCTTTAGGAGCCAAGTAAGGCTGGCTAAGTAAATGAAAGTATTTGTATAACAAATGAACTTCAAAGAACAGTAAGTTTCTGCCAACAATAAAGCGCCATAATACTAACAGCAACACTGTTCTAAATTATTTTAAAATCAATTCTCTTTCCAAATACTTACAAATGTTTTTTTCATTTAGTATGAATTTACTTGTAGAACTTCCAGCATCTTGTAGAGATATTGTTATTTCATGATCACCAGGGGAAAGAGCTGGGATTTCAATATTTGTTCTTGCTAAATGATAACAAGAATGGGACCTATAAGAAATGGAATTTTAATTAGCAGATGAAATTAACAGTGCAATTTTCATAAAAACTTGATTAGCACAAAACACACTGGAAAATATTCTATGCCACCTCCCCCCACCTTTTTTTTTTTTTTACAAAAACATGACAGGTTGCACTACATTTTAAGACTGAAAAAGAAGATTAATGGTAATTTTATCAATGCAGGGAAAATAACCAGATTGTACTAAAAAGTAGAGTAAGCATAGATGATTCTTTCTAGAAATGTGGGCTCTTAGCACGCCTTTTTGAAGTCCCACCTCCAGCTCCCCTCTGCAGCCTTACTTCTCACGCACATATTCCCCCGCCCCCTCAACCGAGGACCAGAGCATCACTTAGCTCCTCATTTGAAAAGCAACCTCAAAAGATGCTCACACAAGAAAACAGCACTGGCAACTGCACACTCCTGGGTCTTGGCTCATGGTTTACTCTGAACAAAACTCCCTCTTCACTTCTGCTTTCAAAACTAATGTTTCTAGTTCCACATCCAGCATCTCTTAGACGAAGTAGTGTTTTCCTCTCTGGTTCCACAGACATTTTTATCTCTCTAGAGCATCTTTACATTCTTTTTATTGTTATTCATGCACACTGCTAATGTCTCAGGACAATTTTAACAGGAGCAGAGGGACCTTCCAGCTGCCTGCATTCCTGCCCCCACCTAGCACCCAGCACCCACCTCTACACTATTCACTCTGGACTTTAGACTTGAACAGTCCGGCTCACCTCCTTCTTGATCTCCTATGGTGACCACCTGACTTTTCCAAATCATGCCATTCTATAGGTTCAAGCCATTGTACCCAATATTCTTTCAGGGTGAAATGTCCTTCTGTTCTTTTTCTGCTGAGAAAACTGAGTTTGCCTACTCCACAACTGTACCTCCTCTGCCGGCCTCTCTGGACTCCCACGCTGCCTGGTCTCCATGCTCCAGCCCTTCACATGGAACTTCCGCGTTTCCCACAGCCTCACTACCATTTCTCTGTTGTGAACTCCTGGGGAGCCAGAGCTTACCTCCTCTCCTGTGGCCTGCCGTGGGCATTCCTGCTAAATACCCAACTTTCCAGCTCCCCCTCCTGGACCAACAGTAGAACTACCCTTCCCTGCCCCTCTGAAATAGGACTTGGCTATGTGGCTTTATTTAGCCAGAGAAAATTGAGTGATGGTCGTCTGTATCAGGTCAGAAAGGAAGCTCTGAAAGCCAGTGCAAGCTCTGTCCCCTCTCCTCCCCTTGCCTCCAGGCCTCGTGCTGCCTGGGGCCCTACAGGACAAACGCAGGGCAGAGATCCCAGCTGAACCCCCAGACACAGACACAAAAAGGAAATAATCCTTTATTTTCATAAGTAAGAAATAAGGAAATAAGAATTAAGCATTAAGCGTTGTCTCTGCAACAGAAGCTAGCTCATCCTGACTGATAAATTACTCCAATACTTAGACTAATGTTCAATAAATGTACACTGAATGGGGAAAAAACAAATGGCATTTAAATACACATTTATGTCAATTTACATTAGGACTACTCATCAGGAAACTGGGACTGGGAGCAGCACGCTAGAACTCCTCTGGCACTGCCAGGCAACACAGTGCTGAGATTAGTGGAAATCAATGGGAATTGTTCTAAGCTTCAGGCTTAGAAGCTTCTAGCCCACACCAAGATGACTTCAGAGGTCAGCGAATAGAACCTGGCACCTGCTTCCTAATGCCCATTTCCTCCTTCTCCTTCATAACAGGAACCCAATGTTTACCGGGCACACTGCCACATAGCTAGAACATGTTCCCAGCCTCTTGCGCAGCTAGGTCTAGCCATCTGATAGGTTCTGGCCAGCAAGACGTAAGCAGAGGTGTTGTGCAGGACTTGGCAGTCCCCTTAAAGTAAACTGCCCTTCTTATTTCTTGCTCCTTGGAATGTAGACATGATGGCTGTGCCTCAAGTGTCACCTTGAACCATGAGATCACATGCTAAATATAGCACAGTAGTATGACAAGGAGGGACTAGATCTGATGGCCATAAACACCCATGCCAGTCCTGTACTGTCTACCTCCAGATCTTCCACATGAGAGTAAACGCCTGTCTGTTGAGCCACTATTACTGACATTTCCTGTTAGGCACAGACAAACATAAACCTAACTGATAAAGCCAGATGTTGGTTTAGGGTAGACCAGTAAAACGTCCCCATAGTAGACTGACACATTGGAGATGTGTTTCATACTCACTATTCATATAATAAAAGAGTCAAAGTTTTGGCTAGACAAAGGGCTTGTTTCTATCTTGATTGATGTAAGATTTGGAATTTTTAAGAAATAGCTAAGAATGAAAACTTATATTATAAAAATTTCCAAAATAAAATCTTTATATTGTAAAATTAAAGATAAAGAACATCTAGGTTTACAGTTGTGGGTTCATCTAAGTATTTCCATTACCTGTCATCAATGCAAAATTCATAAAGAGTACCACGGCTTGCTCCAGAGGGTGCTTTCCAAGAACAGTCCCACTTTTGTAAATTGTTAGTTGTACACTTCAAATCATAAGGAGTCTCTGGAGAGGAAGAAATAACACACACACACACAACATGTTTAATAACTCAATTTCACTGCAAAAGGTCACACGGTCAAACCATTTTCAGTCGTAAGCACAATCATGTGTGTCTACAGAGGGCCCATGTTCTTTGGGAACAGATGATCCTGCAGTCATGAGAGGGGACTGGTTTATATTTACATTTCCTTTTGTAGCTTTAGTCAAAAAGAGCTAAAGGGTAAAGTGATGAACAGCCAAGTACTAAACCACTTTGGGGTCGGGCTTCTATCAAAAATTCCACTTCTAGGCAACTAAGGCAAATTGAGGGAGTAACTGACTACGTAGATTCAATGATGGGACCGAGATGAGGCTTGGGGGATTCTAGCACCCCGTGAATCTCCAATAACCCCATTTGTAAAAAAAAATTAAAATCTAAGTAAAAACTATGTACCTTCCACATCTACAAATACAGCTTCTGAATGTCTAGCCACAACCGCTTTACTGCTTGCTTCCAGACTGCCACCCTCAACAGAAAGCCCACTACCAATCTTTAGACATTATGAAGCATGTTAAATTTAAACCATAACAAACTCACATGAGTTCATTTGAAAAATATATTTTTGGTGTGGGCCTAAACAACTGAGAAGTAGCAAATAATAAGGGAAATTACAATCCTAATAGTACTTATTCACATCTATAAAATAGCATTACATCATGGAATATATGAATACTATGCAATCAATGAAAAAAGTCGCCATAAAAAGAAAATGAGAAGAAAGAAGGACGGTACAAGAGAGGAGAGGAAGGAAAAAGGAAAGGAAAAAGGGAGAGAAGGAAGGGGAAAAAGCAACTATAGTGTAAAACAGGCATTCCATCTCAAACTCTACATGCTTGAGGCTCTTACTCGAGGGGGGAGGGAGGCATGGGCAATATATGTAACCTTAACACTTGTACCCCCATAATACGCTAAAATAAAAAAAAAGTCTATGAAAAAATGTTTTCTTTTATTTTTCTACATGGTTGGCATGATATTCACTGTAGCAATAAATTATGAAACAATTTATATAAGCCAGGAAACACAAACACTATATTAGAAGTGCTCACATTAGAAAGTTGCAATAATCATAATAATAAAGTTGTTTAAAGAGTGACCTGGGGAAAAGAGAAGATCTGTTTCAATATATAAATAATATAAAAACTAAACCAAGGGGTAGCAGGATGATAATGTCCTTTATAGAAATAAGCTAGGTAATATCTAGACAAACATTCTTCATATATTTAAATAAGATGGTGACAATACTGTAAAACGATATTTATATTTCAGTGATAGGATATTCTAAAAACATAAAATTATTGAGACACAAAACAGTGTCTATGCAGGCAGAGCAGTGCTGGCCAGGAGGCCTGGGCGGGGCTCATTACCCAGGCTGGGAGGCTTCTAGGGGCGGCACTGTTCCCCGCCTTGACTGGGCTGGTGGTTACATACCTACCTTCTTTGTCAAAACTCACAGATCTGTATCCTAAAGGGTGAGTTTTATTGTACATAAATGTATGTAAATTATACCTTAATTTTTTAAATGATAAAAGGTTATTTTAATCTATCTTTAAGGTCCTTAAAAAAAATAAAAATACATAGAAAAAAGGTTACAGAGAAATGAATTTTAACCACCAACAACCCAAAGGGTTCAATAAAGAAACAAAATTGCTTCATAATCAAAATGGAAATAAAATTCCAATCTGTTGGTTTTCTGTAAGTCTGATGTACTTACCCTTTCTCTGGCTATTGACATGATTCATTAAGTACAGAAGAACAAATGTTGACAGGAGCCACTGGAAATCTGAAGTAGTCCTCATCCTTTTATTGTCCACCAGCCAGGAAGGTCGTTTCAAAGGTAAGTAAATGTCCATCATCCGTGCAATGTAATTAGTCCTAGGTTAGGAGGAAAATTTCAAAAGGTGCTCAACTTGCTCTGAAGACACGCCTCACACTATGCACATGAATGAAATGGACACTGACAGATTCTGAAACAGATTGCACATTTAGTGACTTTGGAGATCCTCAAGCTGAGTTGGCAGACTTAGAGACATCAACAACTGGACACGGCTGTTGCTTCCCGTGTCCACTATGGGGCCATATGCCGAATGCTGGGCTTCAGAAAGTTCTAGTTCATAACTGAGCATGTGTCTGTCAATGCTCCACTCCCACACCACTACAATAAAGAAAAGCAGTGTATAAAACTGAAGTTTTGAGCATTTAGAATGATACATGGATTGATATTTTTATTTTAATTAGTATGTGTTAATTTTTTGTTACTTATGTATGAAATATTGGTGTTGTTTTCCATTTCTGTCATGATTAAATTTCCTATTTCATACCAATTTAAATTGAAATAATTTAAAGAGAACAAATTAGGGGTAATAGTATGGAGGGCTGCAGAGTGACAAAAATATTGACAATGACACACAAATGGCTGCAGTTTAACAAATACTCCAACAACTATAATGGGAAAGGAACCATCAGTAGAAGAGACCTCAACACATTTCCCTTGAAGAGAGGAAGCATTCAGAAGAGCAGTGACTGACTCTGGTGGATGGGGGGGAGGGGGCTGTGACAGAGGAAGGCCTGCTGGGGAGGTACCTGGGAGGTATCTGTCAGCAGGTGCTTAGATATGGACTCCTGGCCCAGGCCTGTGGCATAGCACCAATAAGTTCCTCCTATAAGACTTTAGACTCTTGGTCAGAGAGACAATACATGAATAATGAATTTAGGATCATGATATGTGCTTTAAAAACTACAATAAGGCAATGTGCTTGAGAGTGCAGAGAAAGAAGGTCTGATTCTGAGCTGAGACCTTCCTGATGAGAAGGACATTGCCAGGATGCACTCAGAGGAAGCAAGACACTAAGACAAGGATACCTCAGCAGTTCACAGGACAGGAAAGGTGGCTGGGCAGGGGTGTGGAGGGGTGTGGAGTTGAACGGGTTGAGAAGAGTCACCATTCGAATGCTATACTCAGTAGAGACCTGCAATCTCATCTGCACCTTAGAGAGACTTCTCTAGCTGCTCCATGCTGGACGGCCTCTAGGGCCCAGAGATTATAGTCCCAAGAGATTACAGTGTGAGGTCTTGCAGGGCAGGAGTGGCCAGGGATGGTCAGACTCAGGATCTGCTCTAGAGATGGAGGGTCTTACCACACATCACAGGAGGACAGAGTGGTAGTTACAAACACAGACTAGGTTTGAATCCCAGCTGTGCCACTTGCTGTGTGACTCCAGACATGCTCTATGACACTCATCATGTGACCCTGACCTCTCTGTACCTCAGTTTCCTCATCTGTAAAGTGGGGATGATAACTGTATTCTCCTCATAAGTTGTTGTTGAGATCAAGTGAGTAAATGTGAGTAAGGTGCTTAGAATAACGCCAAGCACGTGGTAAGAGCTACAGGTGTACTTTGTGTGTTGTGGGAGGTGTAGGGAGAAAAGCGCAAGTGACAGAGGATGACCGCTAGATCTGGTGGCTAATAACGATGAGCAGATGGTGGTGCCATTTTCAGTTCCCTCTGAGTACATGGGGAAGGGGACAGTGAGATGGGGGCTGAACCTAAGGATTCAAAGACCTGTTTACACAAGGCAACTCTGATGCCCCCACTCCCTATCAAAGGCATTCTCCCTATAGAGGCTCAGGGAACAGTCTTAGGAGAACCAGAGTAGCTAATGCAGACATGGGGGCCAAGGAGCAAAGCTTTCCATGTGGGACATTTAGGGAAGCCCCAGAGTCACGAATCTCCGCCCACTCTTCATCTGTTCTTCCTAGAGTGAACCCTACCAGCCATTCTCAGACCCAATGTTACCTCATTTTATATTGGCACAGACAACCAAGGACCACAAAACATACAAGCAAAGCCTAGCATATTAAAGAAAAATTCAAAATAAACATGATAGCCAAAAGGAAAATAAAAATGACTCCCAGAGGAAATCAGGATAATGTAACAAACAAGAAAACTTAGAAAAAAAAAAGAAAGAAAAACCCTCAACTTTTAAATAGTATCTTCAGAGCAAACCTGGCACAGCCATAAAAACAAGAAGAGAATGCAAAGAGAAAGGAATAGTCAGAAATAAAAATCTCTCTTAGAAGGTAAATACATTGGCTAATATTAAAAATTAAAATAAAAGATAAAACATTGAACTATCTTTCACAAATAAAAGACAAAAAATAGAAAATGTGGGAAGAGAGATGAGAAACAGAGACTTGATAAAGGAAAGGAGATCCAACATCCAAATAATGGGAACCCAATGACAGATTTCAAAAAATATTCTTCTTAGTGAAAGCAGATGGCAAGAGTTCTTCCTGGCTATTGTTAAGTATTGTCAGAAAACCAGGAAATGAATCCCCCAATAGCTTAAATAATTAAAACATGCACAAGGCACGAGCACACATTTCAAAAGTGTTCAATTATTTTCTGGATGAATGAATCACTTCCTAGTCAATTCCAGTGTCATCGAGTTTACTCATTAGAATGAAAATGTATTCACGGAATGTCTAAAATGCCAGTTGCTCAAGTTACACAATTACATAGCTATACAGGAATAACTGAATAAAGGAGAGCAAACATGACCCAAAAACTCAAACCCTGACTACAGTAATCATAAACCATATTCACTGACTGGCTAAACATTATCTTAAAATGAAACAATCCCTCCCTGCAAGTTAACAGTTATTCTAGAAAAGAGCCGTGTGCCTTAGTGCTGTGCCAGGAAGAAGTGGCAAGGGGGTGGGGGTGGAGGGCAACAGTGGAGGAAAAGCTCTGGACCAGGTGCTGCCAGATTTAGACTCTAATCTTGGCTCCATTACTAATTAGCAGTATGACTGAAGGTAAAGCACTTAATCCCTACCGGCTTCAGCCTCTACCATTGTAGCACAGAGGCGAGCTCCACTCAGGACCCACATCAGAGGCTTCCCAAAGCGAAGCTGTAATATTCCATTCCCCCTGGCAGGGACCGAGCTTGCAGGCATTAGTGAGCGAGCACTAAGTCAGTGCCAGCAGCGGCCACGGATCAAGGACTCCACTGAGGAGGTCAGTGAGCAGCAGGATGGGGGTGCACAGGAACAGAAGGATCTACAGCCGTGTCTCCGAAGCCTGTTTAACTCAAAATAAGCAGGATAATAAAGAAGACCTCCTTTTGTCATGACATTTACATAGAAAATTCTGAGCAAGTCACATTTGGGCAATATAATATTTATTCTTATAACATGTCCAACTTCCCTCCCAAGCAAAACTTTCAAATGGACTTCCGGGCCAGAACAGTACATGAACATGGCCCTCCAACGTACTTTCAAGAAAACACAGATGCTTATGAAACTTTTCTCTGCTCACTTCTGATATTAGAAACATTGTCAGATTTTACTTCTTTTCCTCAGCAATGCCTTATTCCTTAGAGGAGAACAAATTTTTATAGAATCTTAGGCGCTAACTTTCAAAATTAGGATAGCTGTCTCTAGCTGTGGCAACAACGGACATAAATGCAAATGCCCTGAGGGCTGAAACAGGGCACAAGGGCACACATGGGCAGGTGCGAACTGCAGCCGCTGGCCTAGCCTAAAGGCAACAGCCACCCACCTTGTGCCAAGTTTTCTTATATTTCAAGACAAGGTAGAAATCTGGAATGTTATGAGAAATAATCAAGTTTGTAAATATAAGCAACCAATGCATATTATTTAAACACTCTAGAAGCCAAACAAAATATGCTTTCAGATTGTTGCCTGCCTGAGGGCCACCAGTTTGTTTCCTATACTATTATTTTAAAGGATTCAAAAATGTCAATAAACCCTTCTGTTTAAGAAATGTGATCATGCGCAATCAATTTATAATGTTGAATGGAAAGAAAAAAAATCTGTTTTCACTTCTTTACACATATGCTAACCTCAATCTCAGGGCATCAGGAAGGACAGGCAGAAACCACACCTGGGACCCCAAATGCAAAGCTCTAAGGCCCCGTGTGTGAAAGTGGAATGTTCATGCATATACTCTGACGTGCTTTTGCCTCAACTTCAAGAATTCTGGTTCTAGCATGCATAAGGTTTTGGAACTTTCTTCTGAGGGTAATTAGAAGAGTTGAGAAAAGTAAAGCTAGAGGCCAGAAACTATGATCCCAATGCATTTTGTTTCATTTGTTTCTGTTCCTCCTTTCATTTGTTTACTTATTTAATTTTCTTGCAGGAGTGGTAGGGACAGGTGGGTAGAGGGAGGGGAAAACGTGATAGACAGCACGTTGGCACTGAGGGAGAAAAGCTTCTGAACTCCTCTCAAGGCAGCATAAACAGACAAGCTGGTCACAAACCCATCACCAGATAGAGGGACAGGATGGAGATGTGAAGAGTCTCCCTAAGCAAGTACCCGCATGGCTGATCTGCATTCTTCTTAGTGTCCCTTTCTTTACTGTCTGTGACGAGGGAACACAAAAATCATTTCAAAACTTTGACTAGCAACTATTTTCCTAATCCCATTTCTCTGTAAGACCTTAAGTTCCTCAAGCTTTGGCTCCCTTCGAAGAAGGCTTTCCAGGAACATAAACTTTGCAGTTAGGTAGACTCTATTGTTTTATTAAAGTGAAGTGTTGGGGGTTCAAGTAAAATGAGAGAAATACTTAGGAAACACACAAATTTGGCCCAAATGAGAAGTTCTACCTGGCTGAGACCAGACTGCACAGAGAGACATGACTGGTTTTATAGAAGATGAGAGCTTGAAGGAAGTGGTGCTTTAAGGAGATTAATCAGGAGACAACTGCCATTATCAAAGTACACAGAATTATCTAGATATACATTCAGCTGCAAAACTTTAGTCCTCAAAGAGCCCACACAACCCAGTAGAACAAATTTCATAAGATTCATACTAAGATATTATACCTCATTGAGGATATCAAAATAACTA